ATTGACTGATGAATGTCAGAATGTCAGGTACCAGTAATTCCGTGTGCAAAGCAGAGTGTGCAGCTCGTTGATTTCTACATTACTGGTATGTAAGTCAGCACATGGTTATTTATTCTCCTCATATATTACACTGTCTTTGTAGTAAATGATGTTAATCCTGTATATCCATCCATCCTACATGTAGTCTTACTGTATTCTCAGTGTGTTATGTACAATTACATCATGTGTATTCAACAATTCAATCTACCATACTGTGCTTTGACAGTTCATCCAATTATGGTTTTATTTTCATGAATCAATATTATTCAATGCACAAATTCTAGTGCCATCATACAGTGTTCTGAGATAATTATATGAAATGAGTGAGCTATATACTCATTATGTTGTCATTCTACAGTTAAAACATTGCTGTAGGACTATACAAAATTGTCTTTTCTTAAAAATTGAATTGTGTCTGTACCCTCTGACTAGAGTTAATCTCAGTTGAGATACAGCACCCTCATGTGATACTTTGGGAGAGTATTGGTTTTAAACCAGTGAGAAATAATACACATATCTTCATTTTTGAACTGCTGAATTGTGTCTGTACCTTCTAGGTTGAGTTCATTTCAGTTGATAAATTGCATATGGGACTGTAAAATGTAATTCATAAAATATAGCACCCTTGTGTAGTGCCTTACGGGAAGTATGGATATGAAATTGTTGAGAATTATATGCATATTGTAAATTTTGAACAGTTACATTGTGTATAGTAACCCTCCGTGTCAAATAAATTTCAGTTGATAAATTGCCAATGACACCATAAAATATAGTGCATTAAATATATAGTGCCCTCATTCAGTACTTTGGAGAGAGTATAGGTATCAAACCAGTCTAAATTATAAGCATGTCATCATTCCTTAAACTGTTGAATTGTGTCTCTACTTTCTGGGTAAAGATAATTTCAGTTGATAAATGTAGTTTAGGAATAACAGCGCCCCCATATGGTGCTTTGGGGAGAGTTGAATTGGACCATAAAATATAGTTATGAAATTTAAATAATTGAATATGTTCACCTGCCTACCAGTATTAATAACAGAATCTGATGGCAGTTTTTTTGTAGATAGATACTAACACTGATGTGATTGCTGACATAACCCAATATTAGTTTACTGCATTTCCTCTAATATTATGATTATTACATTCTACATGTAAGTACTATTATACTGTAAGTTGGTTGGCAGACAGGTACATGTACTATGCTAACAAATAAATACAATACTGCCAATGAATTCTTGTCATAATAAATTCACGATACAAGTGTTATATTTTTTTTTTTAAATCAGCATATCTGAGGATTTATCAGAATTGGGTTTGTACAAATCCCTTGAAATCTTTAGATAGCTATAAATTGTATTTTTCTTCTCATGTTCATTTTCTTAAAGACTGAGACTGAGGATTGCAGGTACGTCACCACTAGGGAAATGTAGTATTATTTGATACATTTAAGCACTATACATTAAATTCACATAGGGAACCCAGGTAGTAACATTGTGTAACTTAGATAGCATTTACCAGCTTATTGCCTTTGTTAAAAATACAGACGAGTGTCTGCTGATATCAAGCTGTTTTACGAAGAAATCAAGGAATTATATAGTAATCACATTTGAAAATACTACTGTGTGGATGATCCCCATTTTAAACAAAGTCTAAAATGAAGGACTATTAATTTGGGCTATTTGGACTATTTAAAAAGAATCAGATAAATACACCTTTCCTGTAAGTCACACTTCTAGTGCCGCAGTAGCATAGTATAGATGTGTGTATGCAACAATTGTAGTTGTTTGTCATTCACATTTTAGTTAATCTCTAAAACTATTGATGCAGTGAATGGAGTGGTGTTGCCTTCTTACGTCACAGGAGCACTTTGTTACATCATCCAATGGTGTAATGTATTATATTCCTAACTCAGTCACCTATGGCGCAGAGTAATACTATAATTTTCGCTATCCAACTTATGTTATTGTACTCTAGTTGTAAATTTCATGCGCAGACCAAACTCTGTACAAACATAACTTATTATTTCATTTTTGTTGTTTCAGTCACATTGTACACCATGATAAATCCTTTGCTGTATGATGTACTCGAACATAAATCCTGTCATTTTGTGAATAACCTCATATCATACGTAGCGTTTGATAGATATGTGTAAAAATCATCAGAAATGTTTACAATATTACACCTTGTCATAATTACCAACACAGGTTAACCACAAATTAAAGTAATCTAGAATATTTTATAAATTGCACGATCTGAGCTCATTGTCAAAACAGGGACTTTATTTGTTTGAAGGGAAGCAAGCCTGATTCTATGGCTATTATGCAGTATATGTGAAGTTAATCCAATTATACAGTGCTAACAAATTGGATTGCGTTTTCCCATAAACGCAGGTGACACATGTGTAATGGAAATATCAGCATTTATCTGGATTGTTCGCATTGACCTCACTGATCTTTTTATTGTCGTTAACATTCTAAAGAACAGCTTTTATATGCTTTAAACATTTTTATTGAGTTGTGAGTTTATTAGTCTCAGTTATTTGCGTTGTTAAATTTATTTTCATGGGACAATTCTCAGCTGTATGGCTTTGCTTTGATGATGGAATTCACTTTCTTTCGCTGTGCAGGGAGCTTCATGATTTGGCTGCAGCAGTTCAGATCTAGAGATAGACAAACTACTTCAATTTTGGAAGTGTTCAAGTTTTCTAAAGTTTTGTTGTCATGTTACTGCTAACTTTGTTCACGTGTCTGCCTACACAACAATAAATTAATACTTAAAATGAGCATAATACAAGCAATTATCACTGTTTGTTTATTACTTTTACTCTCCTTTTATCAAAACATTTCATTCCTGCCTGCTCCTTGTATTTAACTGTTCATCCCCGCCCCTCCTGTATCAAATAGTTTACCTCTCTTCCTGTATTCAATAGTTTATTCCTGTTCCTCCCTATAGTTTATCTCTGGTCCTCTCTACATACTGAATAGTTTATTCCTAAGCTTTCCTATTTTTAGAATATTTTCTCTCTATTCCTTTCTGTATTTAATAGTTTATTTCTGCCCCTCCCTATAATTTATCCCTGGCCATCCCTATATACTGAATAGTTTATTTCTGCCCCTCCCGATAGTTTATCCTCAGTCCTTCCTATGTACATAATAGTTTATCATATTCCTTCCTGTATTTATTAGTTTATTTCTGCCCCTCCGGGTAGTTTATCCTCAGTCCTTCCTATGTACATAATAGTTCATCTCTATCCCTTCCTGTATTTATTAGTTTATTTCTGCCCCTCCCGATAGTTTATCCTCAGTCCTTCCTATGTACATAATAGTTCATCTCTATCCCTTCCTGTATTTACTAGTTTATTTCTGCCCCTCCCGA